AATGTATACTATTAATTGTTTTTAATTTTATTAGTGTCACCACAAAGTCGTCGAAATACGTAAAAGTGTCGTTTATCATCGTCAAATATTGGCAGGATCACCTCCAAACACCTTCATTGGAGGTTCAATAGATACCCTACCCTATTCCACCTAGCGTTGCTGGTAGCCACATGCGACAACCTCTTCATAATCCACTAGAATCCTTCATATCCCACATAATGCGCAACAAACCCCTATAACATTTATAAGTGGTAGTGGTGACCGAGTGATGTGATGGTATTTTCCCTATGGTTTCTCATTATAAGCTAGATGAAATGAAAGTGTTTGGCAGCAATCCTAACGATTTCGATGATGAGAGACGACGGTTTTGCGTATCCCATGACTTTATGGTGGAACCAATAAAATTAACATGAACTATTATTATAATTAAAATAAATTATAATCAAATAAAATAATATTTAGTATATGAAGAAAATAATAAATTAAAAGTAATAATCCAATAAAAAATAATTTAAAAAAATTACAAAAATTAACTAAAATATAATAATAATCCAATAATATAATATTTATTATGATATAAATATTATATATTAAAAACTATATTTATTGATATATAATAATTCAATAAAAAAATAATTACTTCGACAATTGTTTTTTAAAAAAAGAATTAACTAAAATAAGTTAATAATCCCATAAAACAATATTAGTATATGAAGAAAAATAAATTAAATAATCCAATAAAATTAATTTAAATAAAAAGAATTAAAACTATTAACTAAAAGAAATTAATAATCTAATAAGATATTTTATTAGATAAATATTATATATTAAAAACTATATGTAGTGATATATAATAACTTAATAAAAGAATTACTCTAACAAAAAAATTAAAAAATCAACTATAATAAATTAATAATCCAATAAAACAATATTTATTATATATAATATTATATATAAAATAATATTATTAATATATAATACTTCAATAAAATAAAAAAGAATGTATGCAAAAATGGTCCTTATGGTATGGTAAAAGACAAAACTGCGAAAATGGTCCCTGAGGATAAAATTGTCATTTTAAAAAAGTTAACAGCCAACCAGTTAAACTTAACGGATGAAGGACCAAAACCAGAATAAAACTTGTGGAAAATGACCAAATCTGCAACTTTTCAAACGTTTGGACCATAACCACATAAAATAAGAAACCACGGTGACCATTTTTGCAATTTTGTCTTAATCTTTAATAAGTATGAGAGTTGTAACAATTTTTTTGGCATGTATAGAATTTTCAAAGTTGATTTATGATATGATATTTAAAATTATTGATATTTTGCCTTCCTATTAATTTGAACTTCAAATTAAATAATCTTTTTAATGTTCATGCTTTTTAATAGTCTTTTTAAATTTAATTAAGATATCTATTTCTATTTGAAATTTTCTGTAATTTTTTTTTATATATACATCATAGCTAAAATGTCACGAACAAATGGAATTATGAATATAATTATGTTGTGTTTTTTATATTTTATATATATAATATGAAAAGAAAAATTATTATGCCAGATATAAAAACAAAAAAGATTAAAAATATTATACAATCTTTATAAAAATTATATTTTCTAGATGAAATGTCATTAAATATATCATAAAAATAATTAATTAATAAAGAAATAAGTTAAACTAAAATATAAATAAATAAATAGATATATGACTAAAGGAAGAGAGATTAAATGTAAAACATGAAAGTATATTAAATAGATCACTAAAAAGAATAAAAAAAACAATATACTCTATCGATATTTAGTGGTAAATAAAAAAATTATTAGTAATTAGCTATAGTAAAAAAAAAATATTATATTGGATACTATTTGTTAATACGTGTCTTAAGAGCAAATATAAGAAGCATTGATTGAAGTATTAATTATAAAAAGTATTACCATAATTAAATGTGATAAACATTAATTATGTGTAATGTTACCATAATTAAATGTAAAATACATTTATTATAAAAATATTATGCATAATTTATATTTATCATATTTAATTATGATAATATTTCTTATAATTAATACTTCAAATAATGTTTTTTATATGTACCATTAGGTAAAATATTAGAAAATCTCATGTTTCTATAAGGTTTATTTTATATAAGTATGGATTTTGTCGACCAACCAAAATAATTGTATCTCACATGGTAACCAACATTTAAAAAGATATTAATATTTGACCGTGGTTTTTCGAGGTTTGAAATTTTCAAACTGCTTTATCTATAAAATAGTTCGAAAAAATAGGGAATATTTTCGAATCGAATATGTAAGTATATATTCGAACTAATAATATTATGTTTGATTGGAGTTCGAAAATGCAATAAATAATTTTGAAATAACAACATTGTTTTTTTTAGGAAAGAAAAATAACAACATTGTTAGTGGTGTTGGAAAATACAAAGAATACTTGTCAGTTGATCCGTACACAATAATTTTTCTCCATACATAACAATTGATGTTTTAAAATATTGTATTGTACAACTATATAATGCATAAATTGTTGTCTATCACAAAAAATTGTTATGTACGAATCACTTCCTTTACTTAAAAATTGATTGTTAAGAACAATCATTAATAATTTATTTATTTTCCTCATGAATTGCGAGTAGTCCTATGAGAATTTGAATTTTGGGATAATGACTTTAAATTAGGGATGAGATTTAGAACCGGGAAATCGGACCGGAACCGGAATCGGACCGGAACCGGTACCGTTAGAACCGGAATATGTAAAACCGGTCCGGGTTCCGGGTTTAAAGAATGGCTCTATCCGAGTTCCGGGTAATCCGGGTTTCGGGTCCTTCGGGTCCGGGTAAACCGGGTTTAAGAACCGGAACCGTGTTAGGAACCGGAACCGGTTTTAGGGGCCGGAACCGGTTTCTATGAAAAGTTTAAAACATGCATATCTCATTCGTTTGAAGTCGGATTGACATGAGGTTTTTCCATAGTATAGTTTATAATTTTAACATGATTTTATACTATAATTTTATCATTTTTGGGTTTATATTCATTGACTTATAGTCTCTCAAATTCGGGATATCAAAGCTGGAAATTTTATGTTTTTCAGCTTTTTTTTGTATTCTGTGATAGTTTTAAAACATGCATATCTCATTCGTTTAAAGTCTGATTGGCATGAGGTTTTTTTATAGTTCATAGTTTGTACATGATTTTAGACTATAATTTTGTCATTTTTGGGTTTATATTAATTGATTTATAGTCTCTCAAAGTCGGGATATCAAAGCTGGAAATTTTATGTTTTTCAGCTTTTTTTTATATTATGTGATAGTTTTAAAACATGCATATCTTATTCGTTTGAAGTCGGATTGACATGAGGTTTTTCCATAGTATAGTTTATAATTTTAACATGATTTTATACTATAATTTTATCATTTTTGGGTTTATATTCATTGACTTATAGTCTCTCAAATTCGGGATATCAAAGCTGGAAATTTTATGTTTTTCAGCTTTTTTTTTGTATTCTGTGATAGTTTTAAAACATGCATATCTCATTCGTTTAAAGTCTGATTGGCATGAGGTTTTTTTCCATAGTATAGTTTATAGTTTGTACATGATTTTAGACTATAATTTTGTCATTTTTGGGTTTATATTAATTGATTTATAGTCTCTCAAAGTCGGGATATCAAAGCTGGAAATTTTATGTTTTTCAGCTTTTTTTTATATTATGTGATAGTTTTAAAACATGCATATCTCATTCGTTTGAAGTCGGATTGACATGAGGTTTTTTCCAGAGTGTAGTTTATAGTTTGTACATGATTTTAGACTATAATTTTGTTATTTTTGGGTGTTTATTCATTGACTTATAGTCTCTCAAAGTCGGGATATCAAAGCTGAAAATTTTATGTTTTTCAGCTTTCTTTGTATTTTGTGATAGATTTAAAACATGCATATCTAATTCGTTTGAAGTCGGAATAGCATGCGGTTTTTTCCAAAGTGTAGTATAGAGTTTGTACATGATTTTAGACTATAATTTTGTCATTTTTGGTTTCATATTCATTGATTTATAGTCTCCCAAAGTTGAGATATCAAAGTTGCAAATTTTCTTTTTTTTTCTCAGCTTTATTTTTATATTTTGTGAAATTTTAAAACATGCATTCGACTCACTTTACCCGGTTCCCCGGGTTTTTCGGTTTTAGACCCACTTTACCCGGTTCCATTCGACCCACTTTGATATTTTCGGGTTTTCCGGTTCTAGACCCACTTTACCCGGTACCTTACCCGGAACCGAACCGGAACCGGTTCCTATATACCGGTCCAGTTTCTGGTCCTAAAAAATCCCGTTAACCAGTTCCCGGGTTTTCCGGGTCCGGGTCTACCGGTCTGGGTTTGGACCTACTCTCATCCCTACTTTAAAGGGTAATATATTTTTCGATTTGTACACATTTGGTCACTGCGTTTTTTTTTTCGTCCATATTTACCCCTTTAACTTGTTAAACTGTACACATTCAGTCTTTATGACCGGCTACTCCATGTTAGCCGGTAAAAATGACTTAATAGGGTAATATATTTCTCATTTTGTACACATTTAGTCCTAAATATTTTTGTACACATTTAGTCATTAATATATATATATATATATATATATATATATATATATATATATATATATATATAGAGAGAGAGAGATAGGTTCAGATGTTTAAAGTAATTATTGTGTTATTGTATGCATAAATGTGGACCAATCATTTTAAAAACCTGGATAGGGCTAAAATTGTAATCTTAGCTTTTAATTAATTTTGGTAATTAATTATTCAAATCATAAACCCTTTATTTTAGGCAAAATCTTTTACATTTACAGCTTTAAATCCCTAGACAGAAACGAAGGAACAGGGCATGTCGACGGAGCTTCTGTGATAGTTGGGAAATCGCGAGGAGGTGCAGAGGGAAGAAGCATCGGGACAGCACCGATCCAGGGGGCGATCATGGCGGAAGAGGTCGATGTCTGCGACGGACATCACCGACGAGCTTCCCATCTACAATCCTGCTTCCACCATTGGTCGGAGAGAGAGTCAGAGCTGGAGCACGAGATCAGTAGTTAAATACAAACGGATTCATCTCATTCCTCTTGTCGTGATGTTGTGCTTCTTCATCCTCTGGTGCTTCAGTACTTCCGGTATCTCTATCTTATCTGTATCCTTTTATTACCTTAACATCACTCGTAATTTTAAATCTCGGTTTACTTTTCTTCCTCTTAATTGTCGTTGTTGATGTAATCTATCAATCAACATGCCTGTGTTTCATTTCATTATAGTTTATTTGTTGAGGAAATTCGGTCCTGATAATGACTAATTGATTGTTGTAATATTAAATAATGGCAAATGCGGAGATCAATTTGATTATGCAACGATTTCAAAACCCTAGGAAATTGTGACCATATGTTAATGATGAGAAAGTTCGAGGTGTTAAACACTGGAGTGAGTTATACTCTGTTCGTTGTTATCTAGAACTGTGGATAATATGTGTGGTCGATTCCAACAATTCTAATGGTGCTTTGTGTTATGAAAGTTATTTTCAAAATTTCCTGTTATAGTGTTTCGTATCTAAATTGTTCAAATCAAATATCTATACATCTGATGTTTATTACTTGTTTTTGTTAGTGGAGTTGGAAACCAAAGATGGGAGAACTCATTTTGTCCCAAGAGCCAAGAAGCCGAAGCAAAAGAATGCAGAAACAGATGTTGATCTTACTGTGTTGGCATTAGAAAATCCACCAGATGGTTTTTTGTCACTTTCGAATGGACCATACGCCTCATTAGCTGTTCTTCATCAGTCCCATGTGTCATTCTTGGATTCTCATGATCACAATGCACCATTAACAGCTTCTCATGAGCCACATGCCTCATTTTCAATGTCTCATGGCGAGTCTGGATGTCCCATTTACGGATACTGGTGTTGAGGAAGAAGAAATACATGGTAAGATTTATGGTATTTTCATGTTCTGATTTTGTAAGTATTTTCATCTTCTTTTTTTGATTTTTTTTCATGGAAATATTTCTCGTGAACAGTAATTATGTGATTCTAACAAGTCATGGCGGTTCAGAAAATCTTAAAGAACACAAAAATAATTCTATGAGAATATTGCACACCAGGTGTTTGTAGAAATGTCTGAAAGAGAACTTGATGTTCAAATTCTTGAAGAACACAAAAATAATTTATGAGTTCGTTATTTGTGTTACTTGATTTTATCATGTTGTATGAGTTCTCTTAGAATTACTAAAATTTGTTTTATTTTTGTCGTATAAAAGCATTCTCACATAGTTTTATTCTTACATAATTCATTTTCATGACAGTTATTCTCATAGAATGAATGAAGTACATGATGATCAATGACCCGAAGGTTGGATGAATGCGTGTGGGATAGACATGAACAATCCTCAATGGTCACCGATCTTCCAGAAAAATGCACTACTCATTGTCATATTCTGTTAGATTAATCTATAATAGAATGATAAGAGTATATGTAATAGTATATTACAATAGAATAATCTACATTTTATCATATAAAGTTTTTTATTTTTTTAAGGATGTGATAAAAAAATTTAACTTGTATCTAAAAATTTGTTTATTCTGCGAGAAGTAAGTCTCTTTATTAGTTTATGGCTTGCATTTTCATAGAATATCATTATAAAAAGAATGTCATTCTGACAGACTAAAATCGGGTTTAATTATAAAAATTACGTTATAATTAAAATTAAAGTAATTAAAAAAATTAGAATTTTAAAATCAAGAGAGTTAATTATCCCAAAAAATATGGAATTTTCCTTTTTTAAATTTATCTCAATTGTCTAAAATACCCTTAGAATGAAATTAGATGGTATTTTTCAATTATCTTTAATTTAATAATATGTATTAATCATTTTCTTAAAATAAGTAAAATGATTGGCTCACATTTATGCATACAATAACACAATAATTATTTTGAACAGAATAACCTAAGCCTATATATATATATATATATATATATATATATATATATATATATATATATATATATATATATATATTGTTGCAAAATAAGTCATTTTTGTTTTTGTACTCATTCAGTATCTATGAATGATTTCTTTAGGTTTTTCATACGACATCTTACGTGAGACAATCATTAATGAGATGTTTTGGGGCTTTTGATGCTTATGTTCATCGAGATCTCGACTATTTGGTTGCTTAGGTCATGTGTTCTGAACGTCATAATTTCTTCATACGATCTTGGGTTTAATTATCTTTATATCTATGCGTTCGTATTTTAATCTACTAAAGCTTTCGTTTAGATTACTCTCGTTAAAAAGTAATATATTTTTACTTACGATCTTTATATCCATACGTTTTTATGAATACGTGTATGGATGTTTTTTTTCATAAAATCGTAACTAAAAATATATTACATTTTAACGGGAGTAATTTTAACGAAAATTATAGTAGACTCAAAAAACGAACACATGGATATAAAGATCATTAAAATATGATAATGTATGAAGAAGTTACGACGTTCAGAACACAAGACCTAAGCCAAACCACAAGACCTACGCAACCACGCAATAGAGATCGCGATGGACATAAGCATCAACAGCCCCAAACACATCATCAATGATTGTCACGCGTAAGATGTCGTGAGGAAAACCTAAAGAAATCATTCATAAGAACTGAATGAGTACGAAAACAAAAATGACTTATTTTGAAACATAAAAATATTAAGGACTAAATGTATACAAAAATATTAAGGACTAAATGTGTACAAAAATGAAAAATATATTACCTTATTAAGTCATTTTTCCCGGCTAACCTATAGTAACCGGTCATAAGGACTGAATGTGTACAGTTTAACAAGTTGAAGGGGTAAATGTGGACGAAAAAAAACTCAATGACCAAATGTGTACAAAACGAAAAATATATTACCATTTCCTCATTAATCCAAATTTGTTTTTTAAAAATGTCTTTCTAAATGTCACAGAAAATAAAAGCTTAGATTAGCATGGCATATGAATTTGACTTAACGAATTTTCTATTTAATTTATTTCTTTTTTAGTCATTACATAGATATCTTTATTTTTATAACTTTTATAGTAGAAGTCATCCAAATAAATATGATTTAAAATAACTCATTTATCTTAAACCATATTTATTTGAAATAACCACAACTTTTGAACTTATATTATTAAATTACTACAAATGAAAAGGCTATTTAACTTATGATAATTAATTAGTCTACTAAAATTTGATATTAAGTAGTATAACTAAAAAGACTATTTCACTTTAGTTATAAGCAAATGAAGCCTATATAACATTCCCTTGTTAGTATTTGAAACATAAACATTTGTATCTTACTAGAATTAAAGTCAATAGAATAATGTCGATCATAAAGATCACCTTAATTACATTTCTTGATCTCTTCAAGGTAAAAAAATTTACAAAATCTCTCTCTCTTTCTCTCTCTCTCCCATTAGAGGTGTCGCTCCTCCCAAAAACCTATATATATCATATGTTTTACTTCTAGTTCATCGGTTGGTCGTATTAGTACAAGATAATCTGTATTTATTCTCTCTCTCTCTCTCTATATATATATATATATATATATATATATATATATATATATAATGATTTATATCATACCCATTTATCGGGATTTCTTACTATTTATATGTAGTTGTGATTAGAGAAATGATGAAAAAAAACCATACCAAACTTTAGGCAAAAAGTGGAAAGTGACATGTAATGGTGTACCCATGCCGGTTATTAAGTAAAGAAGGGATACCGGCCTAACATGGATAGATCAGGTAGTAACGAGAACCATAATAAGAGGCCCAACAAGGAGAAAGGATCATATCGACCCGAATATATCCAACCCGATCGATGAAAGAATAACCAACAACTGTCAAAAGTAAACTCAAGAGATAATCCTAAAACACAACGTATAAAAAGCAGCATGCAAGGCATATCCCATATTTCGGTAAAAAACAAGATCTTTGGCAATAAAATAACCATTCGTACAAGTGATTGTAAGTTGTCTTTACCCAAACATTTCCAAACGACCAGGTATAACCTCGTACCTGAGGATAATGGGGAGCCCATAAAAACCCTTCCATATCAAAGGAGAAGCTAAGTATTCAAAACACTTGAAAACTATTAGCAATTCTGATAAACCCCACACAAGATCTAACTTAGGCATTGGAGAGAAATATCGGGGTCCAACCCTTGGTATGGCTTTCTAACCTAGTCGTTGCTCATTTATGTAGTGTACCTTCTGGACTACTTGTTAGGAGGAAATGAGGAATTCGGTCTCCACCATGTATGTAACACCCTGATCCCACGGTAATTCAAAATTTCAATTTTTGGCATTTTAAGGTTTGCAACGACGTGGGAGGAGGGCACCACGACATGGAAAATTGAGAAGCATCGCGGGTCATTTTTAAGCCACCGCGGCGTGGCATCTAGCAAATGACAAAACCCTATTTCCAGGTTTTTCTCCCTATTAAATGAATGAGGAGGCTAGGGTTTGCTCACCCTCATCCTCTACTAGCCTCTTTGAGACCTGAGAAAACCCTAATCCCCTCCTCATTTGTTTAAGCTTTGTTTTTGGTGCTATTTGAAGCCATTGAAGGAAGAACAAAGAAGAAGTGAGCTAAGTTCCAGCAAGCAACAATCATCTTTAATCTTGAGCACATTTTTGGACTCTTGTAAGTCCTCATAATCGAATCTTTATGTTTTTTTATGTCTATATCTAGCTATTTTGTCCCCATATCTTCATGATGAGAGAAATTTAAAGGTTGGATCTCATAAAGTTGGCAACTTTACAGATCCATGGGATCATTCCTATGTCACTGTTCCAGATCTGAAGATCTAGATAGTTTTTGGTCCCATGCTCAAGTTTAAGCCTTTTTTATCCATGATTTTGACCTAAAATGGAAGGGACATGCATTGGACATGTATGTCCATAAAGCTGTGATTTTTAAGGCTTGTTGGGAGTAAGAAACTCTTTAGAAATTTTGGAGGAGCAACTCTAAGGATAGGGTGTTGAATGGGTGTCTTGATGCTTTTAGTGTAACGACGTAAATTTTCAAACCAATTTTTTTTTTCATTTTTAAACCACATAAAACTCATATATTATATTTCATAAAAATCATAAGTGTCTCAAGTCAACATAAATCCATGACAAAAGTCAAATCCCAGAATCCTCAATAAAATCTCGAACAGATGTGTACAATCATGTCGGTGCCTTCCCGCGATCCTCTGAGGTACCTGAAACACATAACACATAACACGGTAAGCACGAAGCTTAGTGAGTTCCCCAAAATACCACATACAACAATTAGCCACTCGAGGCTATAACTCTATTTGACCCTCGGGTCAGTGTGTCTCAGTGGGACCTTCTAGTCCCACAACTCTGGTGGATCCTCCGGCCCTAACTCTGTGGACCCTCTGGTCCTAACTCTGTGGACCCTCTGGTCCTAACTCTGTAAACTCTAAATAATACATAGCAATAATCACATAGAAATAATGCAGTATATCACAGTACACAAATAACATATAAGATACTCTATCACACAACTATGGTTACCACTCTAGGTATGTGTAGTGAGAAGACTCACCTCGTAAGCTAGTAAGTAAAAGCCTTGTGCTCGGGAATCCTCGATCTAGCCTCCGCCTAACACAAGGATAATATCTCTAATTAATACCCTCCTCATACTCGACTACACCACTCATTGGTCTCTCTTACACTCTTAACCCTCGAAATGGGAAAAAGACCATCTTACCCTTCCCTGACCTCCATTACTCATTTGACTAACCCTAAAGTCAACAGAAGTCAATTCCAGTCAACAGCCCAAATTGACCAGACTCGCCGAGTGCACTTGCGCGACTCGTCGAGTCCCATCGTTCTCAGGAATCTCATGAAGATCCAGCTCA